TTTTGGGCCCCATGAAAGCATATCATATTGGGCCCCCCAGTCCAGAGCAATCCCGTTACTGTCCTAATATTTTTGGGACCCTGTCACTCAGGGGCTCTTGGAATCATCCTGACTCCCCCTCCCCCCTCACAGCGCCCCTGAAACTACCTATCCAGCAGGGAAAGCAGCTGTACTTGGGATGACCAGTATCTTGGAACACATGGGACGACCATATGTACTGGAAAGAAAAGGGTAAGTAAAGGCTAGAAGCTGCCAGCACAGGAAGAGTTAATGTCTTCCAGCGAGCAGCAGGCCCCACCCACTCTGCTCATTTGCATACTTGCCATTTGGCGGGAAGCCTTCTTCCTCTCTTTGTCTGGGCTCCTGGCCAGGGCCCCTCCCCCGCCGCGCCATTCTCAGATGGCGGGAAATGGAAGCCTGAGCGCGCTCACTGCAGCAGTTAAAGTCCCCGCCCATCCCCCCCCCTCCCGCCCCCAGCCGGTCGCCAGGCAACCGCTCTGGAACACTGACACACAGAAGAGGCGCGGGACTGAGGGCGAGGCACACTGGTAGCGCGCGCTTTCGCCGCGGGAGGAAGGAAGTGATAAACGACCGTTTTCACAGCAGAGCGGGGCCGGGGGGGGGAGGCGGGGGGGTTAAATAAGGGCTCCCTCCAGCACACCAGCTCAGCTATACTCGCTGCTTCTGTGCCCCGTCTCGAGCCGGTTGTGGCTCATTCTCCAGCAGCTTGCATATGTGTAGCATGTATGCAGACATGCCTGGCTGACAGCATGAGGTCAACGTATGCCGTGTGACGGGGGAGAGTCACTAGGCCGCTGGTCATGAAAGCTCTAAAGCTGCTTCCACGCACGGAGCAAAGAGGGTGGCCAGTGGAGAGATGAATGTCACACACACCCACAATGCACCACAGGCTCTACCGCGCAGCTCGGAAGCCAGACCCTCGGGCATGGATGCAGCCCAGGTCCCTCTCACGCTGCCATAACGACACCGGTGCTGAGCTCACACTTTCAGACTGGCCAAAGTGCCCGGGCTCAGGTCAGAGCGGACAGCACCCTCTGGTGCCAGGAGGGCATATCAGCCCCCAGTTCCTGTCCGACCTCCTGAGCGCACCAGGACTGATCCAGCAGCTGAGAGTCAGAGTGGGAAAGAAAAGAGCCGTGATCAAAGTCACTACCCATCATGATCAGCCGCACTTTGAGGGACGACCACATCGCAGGCTGGGTCTCGATCTCACAAACACACCCTTAAAACATGACCCCTCTCTAAGACATTTCCTGTTATTACGCTTCCTTTCAGGTCAAAGGTCACGACCCTGCTGCACACACGTGAGAGTATTCAAACAGGACACCCCCTGTGTCCTCACCCCCTGAACTTGGCTCCTGTTTCAGGAGCCCATCGGGGCTACAAAGGTCACTGCAGATTGACGTCTTCATTGCTGTTCCTCTCTGCAACATACCTGTTTGATATGGCTCACACCTCACACAACGCCGCAAGTCATTTCCACCCCCCAAGACAGGGAACCTGAGGAAACGGATGTCCGGCGGACGATGACCAGGGCCTCAAATCCTTTTCCTGTCATTGTCTTCTCCTGGAGTGCTCAAGCCTGGCTATCACCTATAAGAGCAGAGTTACATCTCAAACCTGAACTTTATCTGGCTGCACAAATCAACTAATCAGCTGCTGATTGGCAGATTATTGGTTCCACAGCCCAGTCGGCTCAGTCTCAATTGGCTTTTCCCTGAGGGACTGTCAGGCAGAGCCTCTGTTGGTGGGGTCACTCGTCTCCTGAAGGGGGGGCTGGGGAGGGGAGTCATCTCTACGATTCTGAAGCCGGAGGGGGAAGGGGGGGGCAGTTTGTTCGACACACGGATGCAGTGAACCAGCATAGTTTGAAGTCAGAGGCAGTTCATGTGGTATAGGAAAAACCTAAAGCCTTCTGGGTGGGAAGGACTGCTGACAGATCAGAGTCATTACTACATTTTATTTATTGAACAGATACTTTTATCCAAAGCAGCAGCCTTTTTGAGTAAGCAGGGCCAAGTAATGACAGGAATTATTAAGGGTTAAGGGTCTTGCTCAAGAGCCCAACAGTGAAATTACTCAGCTGAGTCGGGGATTTGAACCAATGACCTTCTGATCACACGAACAGCATCCTAAGCTGCAGAGTCACACACACACCCTTTTGCACAATCTGTGTCTTGCTACCAGTAGCACAAAACCAGCTCGTTTCCTTACCTGCTCCAGAACATGCCTCCAGCTGCGAGATCCTTTCTGAGATCCGACATTGTTTGGTTTCCCTTGCGGTGACGCAGAAACGGCTCTGTTTGCTGCTGCCCGCCCCCCCCCCCGCCAGGTTTTGCTCTAAACCTGTCTCCCCTCCCATGCCCAGATAAACTCCCCGTTCCTTCCTGCCATCCATGAGTCACGTGCAGGAGCAGCTTTCACAGCACCGCTGAGTTAATGATTGGCCTGACACACTTTTCACCCTTATGAAAACGGCCGGGACGCACACCAATCCGCCGCTGTGGCTTCCGTCTTAAAGAGCCACGCCGTTCAAAGCCGGAACGGCACTCGTGTGGCCACCCACACGTCTGACACTCGCCAGGCCAAAACGTAATAGGACCAGTCAGACAGACCAGATTGGTCGTGAAGAGAGAAACATACATTTTTATTTTTTCAGCAAATACTTTTATTCATTTTTCACAAAAGCTGGGTCAGACAGTCCCTGGGGGCTTGCTTGCTGAAAAGCCCAACAGTGACATCATTCTGCTGAGTCTGGGATTTGAACCAATCACAGGCAGAGCATCCTAACTGACACACTGCCACACATGCAGACAACCAGTGAATAAACATGTCAGTGCAATGGTGATTACACCTTCGCCGCAGTCTTACAGAGACCCCGGCGTCGTCGCTCGGACTTCAGTAACGCAACATGTTTCATTGTATGACATACAATGACAATAAAGAATCTATCTATCTATGTATGTATCTATCACCCCCTCAGCCGCCAGTCACCGCCCCAACCGAGCGAGGCGTGTAACACCCAATCAGGGTCCGCAGTCTCCGTGCTTGCAGAGGGAGGGCGTGGCTCATCTGTAACCCCACCCCCTAGAGGCCCCCCGCTGCGGCCAGTGACTTCTTAAGTGCTCAAAGTCAGGCGGCCACCTGCTCCTGGGTCAGCGGGGAGGGACAGCAACGTGACCACAGCCTGCTGGTGCACATTTAACTTGCGTGTGTATACACACACACACACACACACACACACACACACATATAAACACACGGACCTGTACTCTGAGGGGGCCACCCACTCATTTTTATGGGCAAAACTGAACCCCTACCCAACCTTAAGCTTAAGTAACCAAACAAAATGAAATATTTTTGGAAGTCTGGTCCCCACAATGTACACACACAAAGCCTCCGTTTCTGACTTTCGGAGACGGCATCCTGGTGAATCTGCCTCCCAGATCGGCACTAAGCGCAGACGAGGTAACGAGCTCGGTCCCGTCCTGAAAGCGGGGGCCGCACCCACGCCACGCCCCTGTCAGTGGTATAATGGGACCCAGGAGTCCAGCCCGCGTGACCCTAAGTACCACAGTCAGTCTCTGCCGCGGGGGGGGGGGCATCATGAAGTTATACGAGGACACCATGCTGCATGCCCCCGCCCACCCCCGACCTTACACCTGCTCAACCCACTCAAACCTCCACAAGGTCCAGAGATACCCAATGGCAGCTGGATGGGGCCGCTAATGACTATTCCTCATTTTCTCCCTCCCCTAAGTCAGCCCGTCAAACAGGCCCCCTGGAAATTGCAGCAGTGACCGCCCACACACTGACAGTGGGGGCCGGCCTGCAGAGGAGCGACATCGGGTTCGAGTGTCACTGGCCCCCAACGGCAGCACGTCAAACCAGGAATAAGAGCACTTGGGGACTGAGAGAGTGAGAGCATGAGCGAGGTCAATCGTGGGGCTGGGGGGGGGCAGAAATGAGAAACAACAGGGGTGCCGCACTGCATAAGCCAGCGGCGGTATGAGAATAATCTGAGCCATCCACCCCCCCCCGTCTGACTGAAGCCTGCGCTGGGGGATGTGTGGGGGGGGCGGGACTGACCTACTTTCTGGCAAGATTTTCGACAAAAGCACCTGAAGGGGGAAGGAGTTCTGAGAAGGCGGGGCCTGAATGCGGATCCGTGTGGCCAGGCCCGCTGTTTCCACGGACGGGGGGGGGGGGGCTCATCGGGAGCCAACTGTCGCCTGTAACGCTCTGTAACGCTCACAGGGGCCTTCCAGGAACACAGCCGTCAGCGCAGCAGAGCAGCTTGGGTGCGAGTGCTGAACTCCACTGCGGGCGTGTAGAAGCTAATCTGCGTAACACACACAGGTGCACCACAGAAACAGCGATTCTATGCACAAGAGAAGTGTTACAGGTTGAACATCTGTCGGAATTTGTCCCCACAAAAAAAAAAAAAAGGTAAAGGTGAGAACATTCATGCAACACCCTTACACACACACACACATAACCAGACCAGACAGCCTGTATGGACTGTTTTCATTCCAAGGCCAAGGCGGGATGGAATTCCCCTGGTACGGCACGGTAAGCAGGCTGCGGGGCGGGGCGTCCAATGTCCAACACACAGGCCAAGACCCCCCACCAGGTGTTTATGGGTGGCTGCGGTCCAGACAGCGGCCGAACGGGAGGAGCAAAGACCCACACGACCCGGCAAATCACGAAAGGGAAGGAGCTGCCACAAGCCAGCCAGGGTAACCAAAGGTCCAGTGACTCACACCTCATGCACAGTTAGAAAAACAAAAAAAAAACATCTGCAAGAGCCGTAAATATCAGATTACAGGGAATAGGGATTAGGATGTGCCACAAGAAGGCGCCACCTAGAGGCCGAATCAACCGCGGATCACCACAATCATTCCCCCCTTCTTTCTAGAACGTCCCTCATAAGCGAGTCATTGCTCAGGCGTCATGAATATCAAAGGGGACACCGACACTAGGAGTAGTACGACAATCTTTAATTAAACACATCTGTTAAAACGGACAAATACATCAGGGTCAGATTTCAAGAAAATCGACACAGAGCAATGATTTGCATAATCAGTCACGTTCTTCACTCTCCTGGTGAAGGTCAGGCTGCCGCCCTTGAGGTTTATCCTCCAAGATCCGACATGCAGCCTTTAGTCACAGAAAAAAACAGGATGTTCCGGGATGGCAGAGAGAAATTCTTATAAAAAATATATATTTATTTAAGCCAAAGATCAGTCAGGAAAATGGACTGCTATAGAATAAACAAATTTAATAAATTAAGCATTGATTTGCAAAATAAAACCTTCTCGCAAACAGCGACATTGAGAAGTTGAGAGCCCTCACAGCTCGCTAGCGCCCCCTGTGCCATCGGGGTTCTCGGCCCCTTGGCACGACTCCGCAGCGATGGCACACCCTGAACCGGAGTTGCCCGTAGACCTACAGGCGAGCTCCGGCCCATCAGAATCTCGGGCTCCTAACGGAAAGGTCGCGTCGGATCCCAGCTGGCTCTCAGAACCACCCAGCGGTCCGGGCCGAGGCGTGTGGTCGTGTTCTGTGGTGCTCTCAGACTTTCTTTTCTTCCTTTTGTGGGACTGGTGGCTTTTAGACTTCAGGTGTGCTGGAGATAGAAATACGGAGATACAGCGTGCAGCTTAATTAGCTGGATTAACGGCACCTCCCGTTGCGGCCGTGGAACCAAAGCTGTGCCCCCCGTATCCCCCACCTTTCCACTCCAGGTCTCCAATGATGATCTTTTCACACAGCTCACAAATGTGTCTGCTTCGCTTGTTGCGAGGCTCCGCCCCCTGCACACTGACTGGCTGCAAAGGCGGCTGCTCATCCTGAAAGACAACGATAAGAGCCAATGCAGAGAGGCTCATGTGGATTGTCCCACCCCTCTGGGCACAGGAATGCCGAACTCAGGTTTTAAACTGCACTGTTACTGACATTTACCATAAATGTTATTAAACTGTTAATTAGAAAAAGCATTATAAAAAGAGCAAAACAGAAAAGATCAGAAACTAAGCATTTAACCTTGACCTAAAGTCACCTGACTAGTTGATCCCTCTTAACTTTCACCCTCCACTGAGTTTTGCCGCCAAGCACCGTCGGACGGCAGTCACAGAGATCACATGACCTGATCACATGACTGGGTCACACGGCCGCAGGCCGCACCTTCTGAAGGCTCTCCAGGACCTGCAAGGCAGGAGTGAGGACATTCTCCTCCCAGCGTGACACGTCCGTCACATCCAGCCCGAACACACGAGGAACATCAGCGCCAGGTCCTGTCAGGATGAGAGCGGGAAAACGGTGAGGGGGCCGTACGCAGGGATCCTGCAGCGGCACGGAGCTGCTGAGTCACACCTGCTCGATAATCTGCCCATTCTGACGGCGTCAGCAGTCTGACTGCAGGGGAGGGGGCCAACCCTTATTGATCTGCACAAAGGAGCGAGCAAGTGGGCTGAGGGCAGGGCTAAAGCTCACAGGCCGCGACAGGCAAACACACACACACACACACACACACA